CCCCCCCCCCCCCTTCCCCCGTTCCCTCTCCCCTCGGTGCTGCCGGATTTGCACAGTCCACCTCCCAGCGCACGCTGGACCAGATGTGCACGGTCACTCGGCCGGGACTGGCCTACATGGCCGGCAGCCTGGCGGTGGAGGTCATGTCCACCCTGCTGCAGCACCCGCTCGGGGTGCGCGCGCCGGCCGGCATCACGGTCGGCGGGCTGTATGCGCACGAGTCGCAGATGGACAGCTCCGGCCTGGCGGCGCGGGACTCGGCCGCGTCGACCACCTGCCTGGGGGTGGTGCCGCACACCATTCGCGGCGGCGTGGGCCACTGGGGCCAGCGCCTGATCCTCGGCGAGGCGTACACCCGCTGCATCGCCTGCAGCGGCAGCGTGGTAAAGGCACTGCGCGAGGCTGGCGGTCGCGGCTGGGGCCCGGCCGAGGCCGAGGCCGACAGGCAGCCCGGCGCCCCGGACGGCTGGGACTTCATCCAGCGCGTCCTGCGCGAGCCGATCCTCCTGGAGGATTTGACCGGAATCAGCGAGATCAAGAATGCCGCGGACAACATCTTCGTTGATGATGATGACTTCCTGATTGACTCGGACTCCGACTAGGAGCGAGAGCGCCCTGTTGGCAGGCCCTCCCCCCTGCTCCCCCCCCCCCCCCTCCACGCACATCCATCCGCGCCCACTTATGCCCATGCCCCTGATGCGCTTGGGGTGGCTGTGAATAAGAAAGACGAGAAGATCAGCAGCGAGAAGGAGAGAGGGAGAGGGAGAGAGATGGCACATTCTGAGGTGGCACATGTCTCGCGCACATGGCACGTGCGAGCGTGGATTCCGATGGGTTTTCTTTGCATTTTTGGTATATAGGGGCTTCTGGGGCATGCATGCATGTGTGCGTGTGTTTGTGCGCCCGCGCGTGTGTGGCGGCACGTACACACAAAAGGGTCGAGGAAAGGAACGAGCGGGGGGCGACTTGTGCGCAAGCAAACAAAAACACCCCCCCCCCCCGCCTCTCCTTCACATGTGCATGTGTGTGTGTGTGTTTGTGTGTGGGCAGACGAGCAGAGGAGAGGGAAATGCCGGCCAGGGCCGCATCCCCCAGGCAGGGGCGACGGCTCACTTACTCCGGCACGGAGAACACGCGCAGCATGGAATCCCCACCGACGACGATGGTACGGGCGTCCTTGCCGAAGGCCACCGACGCCACGGAGGTCAGGCCGGGGACGTTGCAAACGGGCTTGAGCTTGCGCGTGCGGAAGATGCTGCGGCGCATGCGACATGGGCGCGTGTGGACACCCCGACCGGGGAAGGAGGATGGGAGCAGAGTGACACAACGGCCAGGGGTCAGCAGGCGGCCTTCTTTCTCGGTGGGCGGACATGATACTGGAAGTGGGGGGGGGGGGGGAGATGAGAGAGAGGCACACCGCACACGGGGGGCCGGAAAGGTGCCCAAACAAAAGGCCCCGGACGCACCTGACACCGCCCTCGCCGCCGACAGTCAGGTAGGTACCGGAGGCGTCGATGGTCGAGCTGGTCGGGGCCCAGTCCAGGACAACGCTGTCCACGAGCTGGCTCTTGCGCAGGTCCCACAGGCGCAGGGTGTTGTCCCGGCCGATGGAGGACAGGTAGTAGCCGTTCTGGCTGAAGGTGAGGGAGTCGATGTTGGCACCGGCCGCGTCGGGCGAGCTGAGCGACGCGATGTTGGCGGCCGAGCGCAGGTCCCAGATGAGGATCTGGCTGTCGCCGGCGCACGAGCCAAAGATCAGGCCATCGGGGTGGATGTCGGCGGCGATGATGCCTGCTTGCCAGGCGACCAAGGGATGGGCCGGGCGGGACACGAAGGTGCGGGGCAACACCGGCCCCGTTTGGGCATGTGCGCCGGGGTCAGTCATCGAGAATGCCAGAGAGAAGCAGAGACAGAGCGAGGGAGGGAGCGAAATGGGCCGGCGCGTCGTGTACCGTTCTTGGACACCGGGCACGCCTGCTGGTGGAGGGTCCGGCCGGTGGTCACGTCCAGGAAGGCCCAGGTGGCGTCCAGCGAGGTGGTCAGGGCAAGGGTCCCGTCCAGCGGGTGGAAGGCCGCACTGGTGACCGGGCCGGTGTGGCACTCGACCACGGCCCGGGTCTTGTACCCGGTGTCAGCCTCGTCGGCCCACACGCGCACGGTGCGGTCATGGGAGGCGGTCAAAATGGTGGGGCGACCGGCCCCCTGGACGGGCCCCGGGGCAAAGGTGGCCGCCGTCAGCCGGCCCTTGTGCCCGGTGAGGTTCTGCAGCGAAGCGCCGCCCTGGGCAAAGAGGGTGGCCGTGCCATCGCGCGAGCCGGCAAGCACCAGGTCGTCCAGGGCGCTGATGGCCACGGTCCTCAGCTCGCCGACGGTGGCGGTCCAGGACTCGTGCAGGCTCTGCAGGCCCTCGGCCGAGGCCAGGGTGGCCGGAGTCTTGCGCGCGCGGCGGTCCTCCAGCGCCGCGGCCGACAGGGCCTCCATGCGCTGGACCAGCTCCCCGGCCAGGGGCCCGGTGGTGGTGGCGGCGGCGGCGGCAGGCTTCGGGTCGACGTCCATGGAGTCGGCGGCCCGGGCGCCGGGGGCGTCCACACGGCCGAGCTGCGCCCGCAGCTGGGCATTCTCCTTGTTCAGCCGGGCGATCACCCGGCAGGCGGCCTCGTGCTGGTAGAGGGTGTGCGAAAGCTCCAGCCGGACCTTGGACAGCTGCTGCTTCAGCTGATACGTCTCCAGGACCACGGCGTCCCACTCATTTTGGAACATGGACAGCATGCCGGGGATGCTGGAGGCGGTGGGCGGACGCGCGCGAATCGGGCCATCCTCTGTGGGCGCCGGCGCGCCGGGCCAGGCCGAGTGGTCAGCATGGGGAGCGAGGGGAGCGGGGGCAGAGAGGCACCAGGGGGGGGGGGGGGGGGCGGGCTTTCGCCGGGGGGTTGGCCCGGTCGGACAGGGCGAGGAGAGGCAGCTGGCATGGGGAGCCGGGCGTACGCTTGATGTCGATCAGCTCATCGACGGTCAGGGGCTCGCCATTGACCGGGTCAGTCCCGCGGTCGGCGATGTACTTCTCAATGAGGCGGCGCTCGAAGACGGCATTGCTCTTGGGCGAGAGGACGGGCGACTCGGGCAGCTCGTTGGAAACTGCCGGGAGCAGGTGGTGGGCGGAGGCGGTGAGTATGGGTGTGGGGCGGAGGGGAGGGGGGGGGAGAGCAGAGAAAAAGCCGGAGAAACCAGAAGGAAAGAGGAGGGAAAGGGCGACATACGGGCGCAGAGGAGCATGACTGAGAGGGCAGGGGATAGCCGGGTACGTGAACTCCTGGCTCGACTGGTCGAAGATAGATGGGGGGGGGGCGGGGGGGGGGGGGGGGGGGGGGGGGGGGGGGGTGCGGGGAGAAGGGGGAGGGGAGAGGGCGCGAGGGAGAAAGAGAGTTGTGGACACAGAGGAGAGGAGGTGGCGCATTACCCGGAGCTGGGACGGGCGTAGACCGCGCGAATGGGCTGCGAGTTGAAGCATTCGCCCGGCGCTCGGCGGGGTCGACTGGGGGCGGAAGAGCGGGGGGGGGGGGGGCGGGCATTAGACGCGCGGCCCCCCTGCAGGCTCTCCCCCGCCGTGCATGCTCCCCCCGGCTGCGAGCACCGGGAGCCGGGGCTTCGTCCCCCACACACACCGCCCGGGGCAGAGGAGGGCGGAAAAAAAAAGACCACTGTTGCCCGCCGGCCGGTGCAAGGGGCCCGTGTGTATGTCTGGGTCTGCCGGCCCCTCCTCGGCGCCGGCGAGACCCGGCCGGCTGGTCCCCGGCGCCGGGTGCGTAACGATTCTTCCCCCCCCCCCCCCCCGGCCGGGGCGGGGAGAAAGCGGCGCGCGTTGTCGGCCCGCCCCATCGTTGGCAACTAGATGCGTGGCCGTCGTGCCCACGGCGTTGGCCGCTGCGCCTCTGCCGTTAGCCGCCGCACGTGACACAGCACATGTCCACAGAGGGGCGGCCGATCGCCGAGGGAGGGGCGGGCAAAAAGGCCACCAAAAACATGTGTGGTGTTTACTCTATATTCATACGGGCGTTCGCGCCCCCTGGGCCTGGGCCCTCCTTCTCGCGCGCTCACTCGCGCCCGGGGGCCGGCGCCGGCCCACAGCCGGCCGAGGCAGTATGGCCGGCGGGCGGCCATGCGCGGGGGCGAGGAGGATGGGCAAGCAACAGGGGGGGGGGGGGGGGGGGGGGGGGGGAAAGGGCAAAAGGCACTTGCGAAAGGTAGACTCACCTGAGGAGGCGACGGGGGGGGGGGGGGCTGGAGGGAGGAGCAGGCGAGAGGGGCACATGCGGACATATACCCGCACATAGGTGCACATGTACGCACGCACTGGCGCGCGCGCGCGCGCGCATGCCTCTCCTCCTTCTCGCGCGCGTTCTCTCCCGCCGCCGATGTGGCTCTATTGCGGGCCCCCCTCGGCGACTACCCGGTGGGCGGACGCCTTGACCAGGCGGTTCACCAAGGCCAGGCCAAGGCCAACATCGCGATCGGCCTCGGCGGCCCCGGTGTCGGCATCGAAGCGCCGCGGGGCGCTGATCAGAATGGCATCGGCCCCGAGGCGATCGAACTCGCGCAGGGTGTGGTACAGTGTCCGGGCGGCGGTTTCCACGTCGTGCGCCGGCCCGAGGGAGATGAGGACCAGCTCGCGGGCCGGGTCCTCCGGGTGGGGGACACTCCGCGCCCGGGGGAGGACATCATTCGGCAGGATGTCGGCGAAGGTCCGCGCCGGGGGAGGGGGGCCGGGTGACCGGGGCCCATCGCCACTCGAGGAGGCCGGGGCCGGCCGGACGCACGCATCCTCCGGGAAGCCCAGCTGCCGGGTGATCTGCCGGGCCGCCTCGTCGGTGGTCAGGACACCGACCCGCCGGGCCCCATCGGCCCGGCTGCCGGGCCCAGCCCACGCCTCGTGGATCATGCGAACCATGAAGCCGGTGGACCCGTCCACCAGCTGAACCGGCGCCTGGGGCGCATAGTGGGCATACTTCATGCCCGGGGCCCGGGGAGCCTCGGCCGCCGGGAGGCTGACAACCTGCTGCCCGGAGGAGGAGATGCTGGTGGCTTGGGCATCGTGGCCGCATGGGCCGGAGGGCGCCAGGTCGGCCTCCGGCAGGCGGACCCGGCAGAAGGGCAGCAGCGCCGACACCGGCACACCGCCCGGCCGCAGGAGAGCCACCCAGGGGAGCCCGCCATCGTCGGTGGCCGCCGAGGCGGGAAGTGTGCAATCGACAATGGTGGACTCGACGCCGACCCCGCTGACACCGCCCTCCAGCACGGGGACCGCGCCGTCGTAATCGTCGAGGACGTGCTGCGCGCAAGTGGGCGACGGTCGCCCGGACACATTGGCCGAGGGGGCGGCCACCGGGATGTCAACCATCTCCAGGAGCTGCAGATGAAGCGCGTCGGCCGGGCGGGGCGGCGCAGTGTCAGGACATGGTGGTGGTGGTGGTGGTGGGGGGGGGGGGGGGGCGGCGGGCCAAGGCCGAGCGCACCTTCTGGGTGATGGGGTGGGCAACCTGGCGCACGCCGACGGTCGACAGGCCGGCCGTGGTCAGGTGGGACAGTGTCCCCGGCCGGATGGGGAGGATCAGCGTCAGGGGCCCGGGCCAGAAGCTGGGCATCGTGCGCGCGCGTGTGCGTGCGTGTGCGTGCGTGTGCGTGCGTGTGCGTGCGTGTGCGTGTGTGCGTATCGTGTCCGGCCCCGGCGGCGGGGGGAAACGGAGGAGCAGGCATCGAGGTGAGTATCTTGCCGTGTACCGGCCGGGGAGGGCGACACGCGGGGGGGGGGGGGGGGGCCCCGGGGCAGGAGGACACGCACTGGCTCATGAGGGTGTGTGCCACAGGCGGCAGGGCGTCCACGTCGACGAATTGCCGGAGCTGGGACTTGCCAGCCACATGGACGATCAACGGGTTGTCCGATGGCCGGCCCTTGGTGGCGTAGATCCGCCCGACGGCCGTGGAGGACCGCGCGTCGGCGGCCAAGCCGTACACGGTTTCCGTCGGGAAGGCCACCACGTGCTGGGCCAGCAACAGCCGGCACGCCTCCTCCAGCGAGACCACCCCGCCGGGGCCGGCGGCCCGGGAGGAGGAAAGATCCGGCCGGCCGAAGTTGCCGGGAGGGGCGGACGAGCTGGCGGCCATGGTGCAGCTGCTACTACTGTTGCTGCTGCTGTTGCTGTTGCTGTTGCTGTTGCTGTTGCTGTTGCTGTTGCTGCTGCTGCTGCTGCTGCTGCTGCTGCTGCTGCTAAGGGGGCGCCGAGGGTGGAGGAGGGGGCCTAGCGTGGGGCGGCCTCGATCGCCGGAGGCGGCGGGGGGAACGACGGAGGCGGCGAAGCGAGCGCCGGAAGTGACGGCGGCGACGGCGGCACAGGGAGGAAGAACGCGGCGAAGGGGCAGGCGAGAGAGAGATGCCAGGCGCATGGGGAGAGCAAGCGTTGGCGGGGCACAAGCAGCGGCAATCGAGAGGAGGAGAAGGCGGCGGCGGCGGGGGAGGAGACCAAGTGCGGGCTAGGGGTGTGGGCGAGAATGACCGAGGAGGAGGAGGAGGAGGAGGGGAGCATTGTCCGGGGGGGGGTGCGACCCCGCGGCCAATGGTTGTGGACCCCGAAAAGGGAAGATCCCTCTTCGACCGTGCCCGGGGGGGGGGTGCACGGGGCGAGCCGGCCACATGCGCCACGGGCCCCGCCGCCGGGTGCCAAGGCGGGGCCCGGCTCGCTCTGCATCCGCCCGGCCGGCATCTGAGGGGGCCTCTCTCGCGGGAAAGCGGGGCAAAAAAGCAGGGCGCTTGCACGCGCGAGGTGCCCGCGGACCGGGGCGACCAGCGGCAGCGGGGCCAAGATGCCGCCGGTCAGGGCCGGGCGCAACACCAGAATGCCCGGGCTGATGGGGGGAATGGTGTTCCATACGGGCGCGGCGGCGCCAAAAATAACGTGTGGATACCCAGAATCGAACTGGGGCCGAGTGGGCCACAACCACTTATACTAACCACTATACGATATCCACGCGTGGCATGGCTCACTGCCTCGGCCCGGTGCCTATGAGCGTTCCGGGTGCGCAGGGGGTGGTGGGGGATCGCGCGGTGTGGGTGGCTGCCGGCGTTGGCCCCGCCTGTTCGGTGCTGCTCCATTTCCGGGCCCGGGGGGGGGGGGGTGTTCGCCGGCGGGACGTGCGCCCCGCCCCGCATCGGTCGCTGCCCACTCCACGCCGTGCCGGGCCGGCGGCGGGGCCGGCTGGCGTCAGGCTGGCAGTGGCCGGGGGGGGGGGGGGACACATGGGACCGGCCAATTTCCGCGGTTGCCCGAAAGAAACTCCAACGACCGGAACCGGCCCGTGCGGCGGGTCTGTCTCGGGCCCGGCCTGTCCCCCGGGGCGCATGGGCCGTGGACGCCGCGTGTTCTCCGGCCTGCATGGGGGCCCATGCCCACACTCGGGAGGGGGCGGGCTTAAAGCTGTTGCCTGCGCATGCCGGCGGCCGTACCAGGACGAACAGGTCCGGCCGGGGCTCTAGACTCTTGGCGTCAATGGGCCACGTCCCTGGGGGGGGGG